CCCCCTGCCCCAACCCGATGTCCCTCTACAATCTGTCTCCAGGCAGACCCCTTCCCCTTCCTTTGGCCTTGCCTCCCCAGCCCGGTCCTCCCTCCCTCCACCCGCCTCCTTCTACCCCTGCCTCACCGGTGTCTGCATCATCATCAAACTGAGGCAGCCTTTTGCCGAGCTGGGGGAGTCCTGCATGGGGGTCGTCCTGGAAGTTGTCATTCTCCAAGGCCTCGAGCTGCCTGTTGATGCGGCGCTGTCTGGCAGCCCGGTCCAACACCCGCCGCTGTCCAGGGTCCTGGGAGCGAACTGGGTGGGGCAGAGTCACGAGGGCATGGGAAGAGAGAAGCTGGGCTGGCCTTGGTTCCGGGAAGCGTGCGGACGGAACCACAGCTCTCTGATGTCATCTGAGTCACCAAGCCCTTGGCGCCTGTACCTTCTCCCAATATATTAGCCCCCTGGCTTGCCTCCCTCCTGGCTAACAAGGCTGTCATTTCAGTCACTCATGCCTTTGGCCCTGGCCTTTCCTCCCAATCCCCAGACCCAGCCAAAGAGATGCCTCCTGGAGACCTCTCACTGCTGGCAGAAATCATACAACCGTGCAGATGGGGACCACTGTACACGCAGGGCTTGCAGCCTCCACTGGGACCTTCATGCACTCAGCCGTCATGCTTAGCAATCTCATTTCCTACTTCAAAGGACACACGTAGAGATGCTCATCCTCCAGCCCGCTCTCAAATATAACTGCCTGGCACCCGCCTTCCCTCCATTCCAAGAGGATGCACCCCCTACCCCTCCACTGAGTCCCATTGCTAAACCCAACCCTCCATCTCCAGCTCGGGTCCTTCTGTCCCTCCTGCATCTTCAAACCCTCTTCCCCAACAGGGACCTTCCCTTCACTGGAAAAACCTGCCAAACCCTCACGTGTTGACCCAAATTCACAAAGACTCATCTTTGAGAGAATCGCCCATGGGAAGCTTCATTTCCTCACCTCCCATCCACTCTTCAACCCCCAGCAAAATGACTCCCATTCAGTGGGAACTACTCACACTCAGGACCCTGGCGATGCCCTAGGGCCAAATCCAGTGTGTATTTCTAAAATCTTCCTTTTACTACACCCTGAGACTTTACTGACTATTTCCCTCTGGTGGAAAGAATCCCTTCATTTGCATCCCTGATGTGACTTCAGGTTTTTCTGATGGTGAAAAGCACTCAGTAAATGTGTTTAATGAAGAAGGAGACATGTTGTGTAGAATTATCTGATCCCAGTGAACAGCCGGTAGGTAAGAAGAGAGAGGTTTAAAATGGTGAGGTCATAAAAAATAAAAAGTTAAAAAAAAAAAAAGGGGCGCCTGGGTGGCGCAGTCGGTTAAGCGTCCGACTTCAGCCAGGTCACGATCTCGCGGTCCGTGAGTTTGAGCCCCGCGTCAGGCTCTGGGCTGATGGCTCGGAGCCTGGAGCCTGTTTCCGATTCTGTGTCTCCCTCTCTCTCTGCCCCTCCCCCGTTCATGCTCTGTCTCTCTCTGTCCCAAAAATAAATAAAAATTTTTAAAAAAACGTTGAAAAAAAATAAAATGGTGAGGTCAATGGGGTGCCTGGGTGGTTCAGTCAGTTAAGCATCCAACTCTTGATCTCAGCTCAGGTCATGATCTCACGGTTTGTGGGTTCAAGCCCCGTGTTGGGCTCTGTAATGACAGTGCAGAGCTTGCTTGGAATGCTCTCTCTCCCTCTCTCTCTGCCCCCACTCCTCTCTCTCTCTCTCTCTCTCTCTGTCTCTCTCTCAAAATAAATAAACTTAAAAATTAAATGGTGAGGTCAGCGGCTGACTTCCTGCAACCAGTTGAACAGCCAGTTGTGGAGCTCAGGAGAAGGTTCAGGATTGAGAGAACCACTTTTTGGAGTCATTTGCTTTTGGGAGAGACAGCCCTATGTTTGGGTTTGCAATCCCAGGAAGACAGATCAGACTCAGAAAGAGATGGGGACAGCCCTCTCCTTAGAGGCGAGAGGGCAGGCCACATGACAGGCTTCGAGCAGTAATCAGAGATGACCCCTTCGTCACTGCAGCCCAAAATTTTAAATCTTCCCCTCCAAGTCTGCTTCTCTTCCTGAACTCTCTAAGTAAACAGAACCATCTGCACAGGCATCCTAAACAAGAAACCTAGGAGTTATTTTAAACTTCTCTCTTTATCAGGGTCTCACAACTCTACACAAAATTATCTCTTTATTCATTGAACAGATATTTATCGAGTGCCTGTAACCAAAATAAATAGCATCGGCACCAGGGGCTAACACTGGGCACGCACTATGAGCCAGATGCTATGCTAAGCTCTTTGTGTAAGAGCTTTAACTCTTTATCAACCCAACGTGAGAGATATCATTATCATCCCCAGTTTACTAAAGTTCAGAGGTTAAGAAACATGTCCAAAGCTCATGTAGCTGGTATGTGGCTTGGGAAGAACGCAGAGCTTCCCAGCTCTGGATCACTGTATACTGCCTCCCTCCCAAGTACCAGGCGGTGCCCTTGGTTCTGGGAACACATGAGCTTATAGTCTAGTGGGGAATACAAATGATCAAACAAATGAGCAGAGCACAGGATATGTTAGCACAAGGAAGTACACGGTGCTACGGGGGCACATGCCAGAAACACCCAACTGGCCCTGGGGTAGTCAAAAGATTTTCCAGAGGAAAATAAGAAGTCTAGGTTGAGATCTGACTAATGAATAGAAGTTACCTTGGTTGGGGGAGAGAAAAGGGTGTTTCAGGCTTTCATACCAGCATGGAAGAAGGCTTGGATGGCAGACTGTGGTGCCTTCAATAAATTATAAAAAGTTCAGTGTGGCTGGTAATATAAAGCACGTAGGGAGGGGGTGCTGTGTGGTTATAAAGTCAGGCCCGGTTATAAAGTCAGGCCCGCTGTTAACAGTCTGACCTGTAAGTGTCTAAAGAACTTTGGATTTGGGGATTTATACTGAGAATAATGGAGATCCAGCAAAGAGTTTAAGAAATGCTGACACGATTGGATTCATTAAAAAGTCAATCTGGCGGACTGCTCCACCCACATCTCTTGTGGGGACTACTCAATGGCTCCTTAATTGCCTTCCAGTCTCTAGACCTGCGCTGTACAAGGGGGTAGCCACTACTCACCTGTGGTTGTTTAAATGCTGTAGATTAAGTAAGTTTAAAATTTAAAATTCAGTTCCTCCGTGGCACTAGCCACATTTCACATGCTCAACCGCCACATGTGGCTAAAGGCTGCCATCCTACACGGTACTGAGTAAGACCATTCCCATCAATCCAGAAAGTTCCGCCGTACAGCGCTGCTCCGCACTGAAGCCAGAACTGCCTCTCTAAAAGATAAATCTCTTTCGGCCACTCCCCTGCCTTAAGAGAGCCTGTAATGATTCCCCACTGCCCTCTCCAGAGAATTCAAACTCTCTGGCACTATATGGGATGCCTTTCAGGTGTACCTTTCCCCAACCCTCCAGACTATTCTTGCTATTCCTCCGCAAGCCCCGAACTGTGAACTTGGCTCCCCAAGCGACTTGCTTTCTCTTGCTTTCCTGCCTTTGCACGCGCGGTTCACGCTGCCGGGAATGAGCCTCGGCGCCACTGCACGGAGTGAAACCTTAACCCGACTTTCAAGCCTCCATCCAAGCGTTTTCCCCCTTCCCGGTGCCCTCCATCCCAGAAACTAGGTTAGGTGCCACTCCTCCCCGCGCCCAGGAGCTGTGCTCCCCTCTGCCATCGCACGTATCACTCTGAAGTGCAGCGGCAGGCCTGCGTGTCTGTTCCCCTCCCAGAAAGCCAGTTTGGGGATGATAGGGATCTTTTTCCTCTCTCCAACCCAGGCGCCCGACGTGGAGCAAGCAGGCATCAATTAAACATGAATGGATGGTCTGAGGAGCGACCCCGACGCCAGGGCCCGAGCGCCGGGGAAGGGATTTGAGACTAATAACTGGTTGAGAACATCCTAGGCCAGGTTCGGATTTGGGAGGCGGTAAGGGGCCAACCGCCCGGGGCTCACATACCCGAAGTTTTCTTCTCCACCATTTCCACAACACAGCTGACGGAAGAGCCTCCTGCGCACGCGTGCTAAAGCACCCGCTGTGGAAGGCGTGTCATCACTTCCGGCAGCGCGTGCTTTTGCGCGTGCGCAGAATTATCCCACTAGAATTCCCAAAGCTTCCACCCATTACGTGATGTTCCCTAGGAGATCAGAAAGCTTTCCGCCATATTTTATAGGGGCAAAACCACTTCCGGCTTCAGGGTGGCTGTGTATTTTGTGGGGTCCCCTACGTGGATCATTTTAAAGAGGTGGTACCAGTGGTCTTTTGAGAAATGTTATTTCCCTTTCGTCGTCCTTCTGAAGATGCCACCATCACAAAGGCAGTCCCTGGAGAGTCTTCCCGGGGCGGCAGAGATGATGGGCTGGACTACCAAAGAGAGTGCGTAGGCTTGAGTGGGCAATCCGAGAGGCCCTTGGTGACCCTCTGCCGAAACCTCAACCCCCCGCGCCCCTGGCGCCGCAGACTCCTCGGCCTTCTCCCTCCTTGCCGCCCGCTGCTCCGCTCGTCCCCGCTCCGAGCGCCCCCACGCGGTGCTCGCCCGGCCTTCCGCCCAGCCGCTCCCGGCAGAGCTGTGGCAAAGACCCGCCTCCGCATCCCGCCGGACCTGCTGGGGGTCACTTCCCCTCTCCGGGTTTCAGTTTCCTCGTGTGTCAGGCGGCGCTGGGCCGGGCTGGCTCAGACCGAAGTCCTTGGCTCGCGACCGCCGGCCCGAGCCCCCGCCTCCCGGCCGGGCGCCCCCTCTGCTGACTCCGTGCAGCCCGCGCGCTCACGACCGGGGACAATCCTCGCCTTGTCTACGGCGCCGGCTTCTCGAGTTTTCAGTAGCCTCGGGCTACGCCTTTTTTCCAGGGCGGAGCCCGAGCCCTGTACCTCCTCACAGCGGTCCGCAAGGCAGCCCCGGTCCCTCTGCCCACAGCCCCTCCCCGGAGTTGGGATCCAGGCGCACAGCCCAGGCGCCCTGCGGGCCTCTGTGCCTTCTCTGCCGGCTCCTCGCCATGGCCTCCTGGGGCCCGGGACTCCGGCTCCTGCTGGGAATCCTGCTGCTGCTGCTCCCGCCTCCTGCGACCCCTGCTTCCGACCGTCCCCGGGGCAGAGACCCGGTCAACCCAGGTGAGAGCCCCGGGAGCGGCGAGTGGATGCGGGTTTTGCGTGTCTGCCCGCAGGGTCCGGGAGGGGGGGGTGGAGGCCTGGAGGGGGTGGCCGGCCTCTCCCAAGCCTTTGGGCCCTCCGTGGGACGAATCGCGCGGCCCCTCGCCCACCTACCCTACCCCCCCACACCTCCACCCCGAGCTGGGATTTCCAGCCTCTCCATGTGAACTCATCCCGGATTCCTGGGTGTCTCTCCCACCCAGCTCTCAATTGGAGCCGAAGTTTTGGTTGAGAAGAGTTTAAGAGGGAATCGGAAAAATAAAAATAAAAATAATAGGAGGACAGGGGCAGAGTCGGAGGGAGGGCAAGGGGGCCTGCGGTGAGCGGAACTCGTGGGGCAGTGAGCTGGGTGAGCGGGTCCCGAGCGCCAATTCCCGGCTGGTGACAGAGAAGCTGCTGGTGATCACGGTGGCCACAGCCAAGACGGAAGGATACCGGCGTTTCCTGCGGTCAGCGGAGTTCTTCAACTACACAGTGCGGGTGAGGAGAGGAATGCCCTCGTGGCCTCTAGGAGGGGATTTGCTGCCCCTGGAGCGGGCTGAGGGCTGGATGCCTGGGGCCCCACGGTGAGCCTGGTCAGGAGGGCCCACCGGGCCGGCTGAGCCCTGCCCCGGCACCACGGGTCTCCTCCCCCCCCC